TTTTTGTTTTTATTATTTCAGTAAATCATTATCAAATTACTCTTCAAGCAATTTCTGCCACTTTCGATGAGTATGTACAGAAGTACAATTTTTGTTATTTTATGTTTGTTTATTTATTAATGAATTATCTAGTGGAGATACAACATTTACCACGAAATTCAGTTGTAACTCGTTTCATTCCACTTACTGTTAATATCGGTGAAGTAAAAGAAGTTGAAGTTGATAATAAGAAAAAAAACTAATTTATTTGCAACATTATTGTATTTATCTTCATAAACGTTTACAAAAGTCATAGTGCTCGATGGTGATAGTCAACATAGGTAAATTGCAAACTATACTCTACACAAAAAAAAACAACAACCATGTTTTCTTTTTTCTTTTTCACAGTCAACTCTTCCGTGCTGATGATTCAATTGATACAATAGATTCGAAAGTTCGATTAATTCTATGTTAATATATTGATCTAGTTTTCAGAGTATTTCTTGTTGCAAGAAAATTGTTATAGACTACCATAATATTAGCATTTAATAATGCATGTGTCTTTGATCAACGGGAAAGTATTATGAGAGAAAAAACATTGAAAACAATTTTTTTTTTGTGTGAATTTTGTCTTGGCAATGTCTACAATAAAAGATGATGAATTTGTTTTACAAAAGAAAGATCAAGAGTGCAATATAAAATAAAAAATAGAACAAAATGTAACCTAACAATGATGAAGTTTATGAATTTAAAGTACTTCTAGACAGTGATCATTTATTTAGTTGACTGTTGTGTTGAAGAAACTGTCAGCACAATTCACATTGTTGTACCTATTTTTGTTGGTTATTCTAAACTTTTATTCATCTTAAATATGAAACTAAATAATTTTTTTATAATCTTGATGTTTCTCTCATAGAAAATTTGAAAAGTATATTCTAATCCTTTAAAAAATTCATTTAATTCTAGTTGACATTATTTTTCAAAAAAATGAAATACAACAATTACTATATAGAGATATTTTTAATAGAATATCAAAACTGAGTTTTATGCTTTTATTGGTAAATCTAGTCACTACAACAAATATGTTTGAAAGATTGCAAATTAAATTATATCAGAAATCTTCGAACGAATG